CAGCGTTAATGTAGTGCCTCACCTAGACCCGTTTAAACCTGTTTTCCAGGCTCGGAGCCCATGTGGGTTTATTTTTCACTGTTCGAATTGTTCGGGGGGTGGAAAAAAAAGGCCTGCGAGGCAGCAGCACCTGCAGGCCAAGGGGAGAGGAGGCAAATCCCCCCATTTCTGTGAGAAAAAGCGCATTGAATGACGCGGGGGGGAGCACGGGCGGATCCGAGGTGGTTTCCCACGAACACATTTTAAAAATTCAGAGCGTTCTTTTTATATAAGGGGTAAATAAATAAGTAAATAGAAGGAGGCGCCGAGGCTGGAGCCTGAGGTGATGGAGGGACCGTTACTGGAGGGGCGGGTGGGGTGGGGTGTGTCTGTGGGGTCAGTGATCACTGAGAGAATTGGGTTTATTTCGGATGGAAACGGCAGTAAATCTCACGCAATTAAAGGAGTCTGAGCAGCCCGGCGAGCGCTCTGACTGGGTGCTCGGGGAATTGTCTGCGGGACGTTGGGCTAGTGGCTTTCTGGCCCTTCTGCCACTCGGCTGAGATGAAGAAGGGGCAGGTTGTTTGTTTTTTTTTTCCCCCTCAGAAGTCTCTGCTGGAGGCTTTTCCGTGCTGGGTCGTTCCAGAGCACGGGGTGTTTTCCTGTGTCTTGTTTGGAGTCTCCCTGGGGACCCGTGAGCCCTGCCCTGGCAGGGAGCACCGGGCTGAGCAGAGCAGGGTGGTAAATGGGACCTGGATTTGGGGAAGAAGTGCAGGAATATGAGGGCATCCCCTTGCAGACAGGCAAAGTGTGTGTGTGTCCTCTGGGAAGCGGAGTGGAAAAACCCTTGTTGCAGTCAGGTCTAAGTAGGTGTGAGGAGCTGAGCTAGATTGGAAGGGATGGGAGAGCAATGGGACGTTCAGTGGTGCTGGGGAGTGAAGTGGCTCATCCTGGCACTGCTGGGTGCTCTTGCTGGGTGTCCTCAGTGGAGCTGCTCCTGGTTCTTCCCAGAGCCGGGTCTTGCCTGACAGATGACTCCTTCCTGCAGCAGATGAAATGATTTACAGTGCTCACCAGACTGCAACTTGCAGGTGTGTTGTTCAGTTCCCTGAGTATTTAGTGGGTGAAATTTCACAGATGGGCACTCAAACTCACTAAATGCCTTTGAGCCTGAATTTGGGATCTAAGTCTGACCTCTGATGTGTATTATACTATGACAGATTATAGCTAGTTCCCTAACACCAGTGCTTATTTTCACTGCAGAAAAACCTGCTGTCTTCATTACATACCCTGCATCTTTGTGTAACATAAATTTAGCTACTCCTTAAGTGTAGATTTTTACTTTATGCATGGATTTGTTTTTGGAGCAATCCAAAAAGATCCTTTTCCTTCATTAGTCTCAAACCATTCTTACAAGAAGCTATATAATAATATATAGCTTCCTAGATCTGTTGGGCTGTTTAATTGCTCTGCAAACACAGAGGGGTGCTAATAAACTTGCTTTCAAGCATGTGTTCATATGTCAACACTTTTGCTTCAGTCAGAAGCTTAAAAATGGAAACAGTTTTCTCTTTAAGAAAACAGGACCCAAATAAGGAGATGGTGGAGTGGTGAAGATTCCTCTAGTGAGTCTGTTCCAGCTCATTCCTTAGAAAGGCTGTGTGTGAAAGATCAGAGAAGGGGCCAGTAGATCTGGGTTTTGTCCAGGGGTCTCTGGGTTTAAATCTCTCTCCGACCACTTGAGCTCATTTTCCCTGTGACTTGGCTGGGTACAACTTCTTTCCCTGCCCAAGCTGCTAAAAAATCTACAACTTTACCCTTCGGAATTCTTTCAGTTGTGGGACAGATACAACCCATCCCTGAGCAAACATGGAAGCTATCAAGAAAAAGATGCAGATGTTGAAGTTGGACAAGGAGAATGCCATCGACAGAGCAGAGCAGGCTGAAACGGATAAGAAGGCAGCTGAGGACAAATGCAAACAGGTGAGTAGAAATAAATCCACTGGTTGTGTATGTGCTGTGGAAATACTACAACAAAACACTAGGTTGCAACTTCCTGATTCAGAACGTAAAATAATTGGAAGTTGGGTTTTCTGTTAATCTTCTTTTGAAGACTTCTGCCTTCTGGTGTTGTTGCACAGCCAGGGTTAGGTAGTAACTTCTCCTTTCAGCCATCTGAGTCTTTGCAAAATTAGCACTATCCACAGATTATTAAGTGCTTTGTCTTAAGTTGTCTTGAATCTTGTATAATTGCCTTCTTTTCCTTGTGATTCCATGGGAAAGGCATGACATACCCAACATCAAAGCTGAATTCCTTGAACACCTGTAGGATTGGTGTTAATACCTCCTGGAGCACTAGCTGTGTCTAAATATTAATTGAGCCTCTCCTTGAAGTGGATTAATAAAGTTCACTTGACTCATCCTTGGTATACAGAGCAGGGCCAGCTGGGACTCAGCAGCAGATAATGTTGTATTATTTTGTTGTTAAGAATAATCAGAAATACATTAATTTGAAAGCTCTTCTTTTAGCTGAATTACACTGGTAACATTTTCATAAACTTTTGCTTTTCAATGTTACTTTATTCTGCCTCCTGTTTGAGCTATAGTATTGTCAGGACAATCCTGAAATGTAAGTTGATGACACTCAAGTTTCTTACTGCACTTCTTGTGCTGTCTGGCCTTTCCTTTTACATACTCTAAATGTGGCTGCTTCTACTACATCTTCCAGACTGCTCTAATACATTATTAGAATCCACTGGCCAAAGATTTCCTGTGTTTAAGTTCAGTTTGGGATCCTGAGTGATAGGAATTAAGATCCATTAGCTAAAGCTAAAATCAAAAAAACCTTGGAGAAGTTTCCAAAAGGGTCAGCAGCTGCTGCCATCCCCCTCCACCCCCAGCATCAGGGACACTGCTGTCTCTTCTGTGTCAGTACAGTGGTTTCTACAAGCTGCCTGCACCCCCCTGTGATAGGGGCCCCTGTTTTCTCTCCTGGCTGCAGGGCTGTTGGGCAGATGCTGTTCTTCTGGGCTACAGCTTCCCCAGCAAATCTTCCTGTGCTCAGAACAGCCCCAGGGCTTGTGACCCAGAGCAGGTGGTTGAACACTCAGCCTTCCTGTACATCAGTTAGCAAAGGTAATTCCCACAGAATTATAAAAGGACACACTTGTGGGAATTCTCAAACATCTACATGAGGGTCACTCACAACAAAAAAACTACAGAGTAAAAGAAATAAATCTTTGCTCCTACTTCCCTTTTCTGAATTGTCTCAAGTTTTTCAGCTCCTTTTTTTTTTTTTTTTTTTACCATGGGCACAGAACTCCAGTGGTGAAAAAAAAAAAAGGGAGCTTCACCTTCATCCTCTGGTAGAGCTCCCAAGCATTAAGATATGCAGTTCTCTCACACTATCTGGTTACCCTCAGTAAAAGTACAGCAACACACCAAGGTTCAAGAACAGCACATTACCAAACATGCTGCTCAGGGTGTCTTTGAAGCCTGGATGGACCGAGTCAGTGCACTGGAAGACAAACTATTTGGAGTGAACTATTTTGATAAGACTAAATTGATATGAAGGTGGAGCTAAATGGTTAAATCAGTTTCTCAACAGGCTGACCTGGTTTGTGTTGCAAATGAAATGCTGGAGCAGATGGGTTTGCAGGGCACCCTTATCAGCAGCCTCCTGATAATGTAAATTCTTCAGGGAGCAGGAGACAGTTTGTCATTAAACAGTCTCCCAGCGGGTTATAAATAGCACCATTCTGGGGTACAATATGGATTTATATGGTATGAAGTCTGAACCTCATGGGAGGATGGAGTGTGCCTTGTTGGCCCACGGTTGGTCACAGAGGAGTTCCAGTTGGAAGGGACCTCCAGAGGTCACCCAGTCCCACCTCCTGTACAGCAGGGTCTGTCCCAGGCCAGACCTGTGTCCTCCTGAGGGTCACATCAGGTTTGAGTGTCATGAACCACCCACAGATGATTAGGGAAACCCCACTTATTGTTTCTAACTCTACAGGAATTGACTAGTTTCCTAATAAGTCATCAGGTAATAATGTTAGAACAAACACAAGGACACGATTTTTAAAACAGTTTTTAATTCCCCCATAGAATTAACTGCTGGATGTTGTGGAGTCCAGAACAGAAATGAGGTGAAAAGGGGCTTTTATCAAGTTATGTATTAAACCAGATCCCATGTGTGTGGTGGCCAGGAATGTTGTTCTGAGGATGATGTTTTAATGATCTTCCCCTGGCAGCTGCTGCCAGCCCTTCTCAGAATACTTGTCCCAGCAGAACTTTGATCTGTTTTTTGTCACTCTTTGTACGTTAAGTTAAAACTAACAGGAAAGAGGTTTTAACCATCTTCATCTGCAACTGGTAATACATCAAAATGTTTACTTTGTTTCTCTCTCTTGAAAGGTAGAGGATGAGCTGATGGCCCTGCAGAAGAAATTGAAGGGGACTGAAGATGAGCTGGATAAGTACTCGGAAGCTCTCAAAGATGCCCAGGAGAAGCTGGAGCAGGCTGAGAAGAAGGCCACTGATGTAGGTACCAAGGGCTGGGGTTGGTCTGTGACCACGGGGGGTGGGAGGGGCGGTGGGTTCCAGGTGTGGTCTCCCCTACACCCGGACACAACTCCTGCAGCTGCCCCCACGGGGACCTGGAGGGACTTCCTGGCCCTCAACCCATCAGGGGTTTTCCAAACGGGGGCAGCGTTTGTGGGCAGGAATTCTTGAGGAAAGATGAAATTTCCTTTCATCCAAGTAAACGAAACTGTGATCCGGTGGGAGGTGCCCCCTGCTCACAGCAGGGAGCCTGAGGATCCCTGGGGTCCCTGCCCACCTTCACCATTCTGTGATCTTTCAGGGCAGCTGGGACATGGGGACTGCCCGTGCTG